GTCCGGAGCTTCAGAGCCTGGAGGGACCTCCCATGAGCCAGAGAGCTGAGGCCCTGGATGTTAAAAGACTTGTTCAGAATGACCAGCTGGGGGTGGGGGGGAGGCGGCCTGGTCCCCAGCGGCGCCTCACACTGCGGGACAGGAGAATTTAGAGCTATGATGAAGACAGGGGCAGCTGGCAGCCTGAACCCTGTCTACGATGGGACTGTCCCCACCTCCTCCCAGGTGTGCTGAAACCCACAGTGACGACACTGGGCAGCTGTTGTCACATGCTCTAGATGGTCGGTTAGAAAACAGAATCTGCACATCCCGCAGCGACCCGGGATGTGCCACACACCTATATTTAGCAGTTGCATTCACGTTTGGCAATTGTTTTCAGAGGAATCCACCCATCACCCATGGATTCCTATGCAGCCAGACTCTGGTCCTGACATAGAAACTAAGTACAACACAGAGCTCCCGCGGTGTGATCCTTCAACAATGGCAGCTGTGACTGAGGTGGTGGGGTGTCGGGAGCCCGGCCGACATCCAGGGCTTGTGCTGCGGGGACATCACATGAATCCCAGCACTCTTTCCCACGGGACCAGGTCTTCCCCAGGACTCAGCACCTTCCTCGGGTGAGCTGGGGAAGGTCCAGCTCTGGCCAGCTCCAGTCCACCATCCCTGGAACTCCAGCTCAATCCCATCATCTTTCAGCCAGGAAACAGGGCAGAGCTGAGTGGCAGGACCCGTCTAGACTGCAGACCAGGGGAGCCCAAGCGTCCGGCAGAGCCAAGCCCAGCACTGCCTCCATTCCCCTCCCCCCCTCCCTCCCTGTCCCCTCCCCCTCCTGGGGTTCACATGTGGCATTACATTCACAGGAGCAGTGCCCAGATAAGGTCAAGTCACACAGAAAATCACACACATGCACACACAGTTGTCTCCTGGTGCTCTTGGGAGACTGGTTCCAGGACACCTCCCACAGATACCACAATCTGCAGATGCTGAAGTCCTTTTATAAAATGGCATAATACTGACATCTAACCTACATGCATCCTCTGTACCATCTAGATCATCTCTAGACACTGGCGATACCTGACACTATATAAATGCCCTGAAAGTGGTTGTTATACTGTACGGTTTAGGGCATAAGAACAAGAAAAAGGCCCACACGTGTCCAGTTCAGATGCAACTAAAAGAAAAGATCTTCAACCTGAGGTGGGTTGGCTCTGAGAACGTGGAACCCTGTCTATAGTCACATACGTGTGATCCTATTTGCACACTAGTTTACAAACTTCCACTTCCTAATATACTATTAATGCTCCTCTGGGTCCTTGCCAACACACCCCCTGCCCCCATCCCCACACCAAGAGTATCATGGGAATGAACCCTCCCCGGGGCGGGCTGCCCAGGCTGTGACGGGCCGGGCTGGGCCTGGCCAACGCAGCCCATGTGGATTGCCACAGGCCTGGAGATGGGCCAAGCCCAGGATCCAAGAGTTCCAGATAACGGAGCACAGAGCAGCGTGTGGCCCCCGGCCAGTGGGCAAGAGAAGGAGAGCCAGAGAGGAGACAGTGGTGCCGCCCATGGGAGCCAGGCACCCAGCAGGCTGCCGCCTGACCTGTGCCGTCCGCCTTCTCCAGGGCCCAGCTGGGCAAGGCCGAAGGAGCGGATTCTCCACGCTCCACCAGGTCACCAGCATGGACACGTGGTGAGGCCATCGCCCGGGTCTCCAGCAGCTAGCCGAGCTAGAGGAGCCCCACTTGAGGAGTCTAGAGGAGACGGCATTCCAGTTACGTCTCTATGTATTTAAGAACTGAAGAAAGAATTAACCCAAGGAGAATCTCACTGTCGGGAAAACCGGGCCCAGCT